AGCACAGCAAAAGAGCAGGGTGGGCTAGAAGCCCAAAACTAATAAGGAATGGGAACTTGCATCTCCTCTTTCAAAGCCTGACTTTGAAGTGGTTGATAGGCAACCCTTGAAAGCTCTCCAAGTGTTCAAAGTGTAGTCCCTGAGCTAAAGTCATGAACACCAGACGTGGGGAACAGCCACCCAGGGAGGCTGCAGTGTCTCTGTGTCTGCTGCCTCTTGGGATGTCACGTCTTGGTGTTGCAGACAAGAGAAAATGTTGACTCATTTGCAGTGTGATTAGTCTGGGGGGGATCACAGCAGTGCTCAGGGAGGTTGGATTCCCCTCTTATCTCCTCCTGTATTCATCCTTTCCCCAAAGAGGCTTTTATTTGTGAGGAGGGTTGGTTTATTTTAAACAAATACACAGCTAATCCCTGTTGTACATGTAAATATAGACAGCACAGAGGTCTGTAAAGATTACAGCTGCCCCTTTTGGCAAGCAGTATCTTTTAATAGCATTGTGTGCAGTTAATCTGGTTAAGCAAAAGTATGAGTGGAACAAGGAGTCCAAGTTCAGGGAAGGAATAAGGGACAAATGTCTTGAGAGATTTGTGGTTAGTAATATTGGGGCAGGTAGCATAGATTTTTTTTCCTCTCTTCTTTTGGCACTTTGGTGTCTGTGGTTGGAAAACAACAAGAGTAGAGCAGGATGTTAAATTGCAAGAGACTCTTGCTGTTGTGTGTCATAACAGATGTTGACTGTGAGGGGCAGTCCCAGCTGGAGGGAAGGGATGGGACATCCAGAGGGAGCTGGACAGGCTGGAGAGGGGGAACAATGCGAACCTCATGGAGTTCAACCAAATGCAGTGCAAGGTCCTACACCTGGGCCAGGGCAACCCCAGGCACAGCTCCAGGTTGGGGGGGGAAGGGATTGAGAGCAGCAATGAGGAGAGAGACTTGGGGGTGATGGTGGGGGAGAAACTGCCCATGAGCTGCAGTGTGAGCTCAGCCCAGAGACCAAGCCAGGCCTGGGCTGAGCCACAGGAGTGTGGGCAGCAGGGCAAGGGAGGGGATTCTGCCCCTCTGCTCTGCTCTGGGAGACCCACCTGGAATCCTGCACACAGCTCTGGGGCCTCAGCCTGAGAAGGACATGGAACTGTTGTAAAGGACCATGAGAGATCATGGAACTGTTGTAAAGGACCATGAGATGACTAGCTCAGATGTAGAGCTCTGAAAACATCTAGCAGTACATGCAGTGGGTCTGGGGACCTGGGCAAGGAGGAGCACTTGGTGCCACCTAAAGCCAAGGCAAGAATTGAGTGAGAAGGGGAACAGTGGAGCAGGAGGACACACTGTGTGGGACATGCCTTGCAGGAGCATTCCTCAGCCAGCTCATGGAGGGCTGGGAGCTGGAGGAGGACCTCAGGGCAGGAGGTTTGGGTGCTCTCAGGGAGCCAGGAAACGTCTGCTGGAGCTCTGCAAGTGTCTGCTGGGAATGTCTTGCTGGAGCTCCCCCGGGGAGGCAGGAAATACCTGCTGGATGTGTGTGTGAGGGTGGCAGGCCCAGGCCACTGGTCCCATATTGATGCTTTTTGAGCATGGGCATAGGACACTGGAGGAGTTGTGTGGTTTTTCCCTCCCCCTGGCAGAGCTGTGAGCACTGCACCATCTCTGACGTCATGTGCATGCACGAGGGCATCTCTTTAGTACACAGAGTCCTTCAAAGAGAGTTTGTGCAGGTCAGAGAGTTTCTTCCAACAGCTTCGCATGCTGGTGCAGATGTGATGTCACTAATTCCCCAAGAACAATAAACCAAACTTCAGCAGAGAGTAAAGCAAATCCACATGCCTATTTTTGGTGGCATTTTCCAGGTTACTATTAACCTTTCAGTTGAAATTTAATGCTGAGGACTCCACATTGATCCTGAGCAGCTTCTTGGAACGGCATCAATTTTCCATTTAGAAAATTGCTTTTTTTTTTTCCCCCCAAGCTTAACCCTGCATAGAATGTTGTTTTGTTTTTTTTTCCTGAGAGACATTTTCCAATGGAAACTTACTCATTGGGTCTGAAGTTCAAACTGGTTTTGCCAAAGCCTAGGAATCATGAGCAATGAAATAGGAAGTGCTATAGGAAATAACAGCTGAACTGGGGGAGGGACATGTTTAGAAGATTAAGGCCAAGTGCAGAAAATTAATGAGACAGAGTCAGAATTACAGTTAGAATTAAAACAGGCCCATGGCCAGTTTAAAGATACTGTTTGTCTACATGATAGTGGGGAGAAAACTTTGAAAACAGAGCAGAGTAGTAGCTGGCAACAGATAACATCTGGCAATGAATTTGCCACCAAATTCCTTTCGGAGAACAGGTGGGTGAAGAAATTTCTCCCTCAGTGGGATTGGAACTAGGTGGTCTTTAAACAGCCCAAGCCACTCTATGAAGAAATCCCAACACAGTGTAATGTCATTTTCCCATGAGAAGCAAAGGTGTTGGAAGTGTCCCACAGTGCTGAGGAGGCTTCTCTGTCAGCCTTCTATATTTGGAAGCTCAAATACCTGAGGCAGATTAGAAGCCCTGAGCTGGGTAAACCAGTGTTAATGGGTGACTTCCCATCCCTGCACACATCAGGTGTCAGTGCTGCAGTCAGGGTGTACTTCCAGCTGTAGGGATGGCTCTGAGCTCTGCAGGGTGCTGAGGATGTCACTGTGGCTGCTAAACCTGTTTGAGATGCTGAATCATTGAGCTGAACCACAGCTCCATGCAGGAACATTCAGCCACTCTTGATTTAAAGCTGCCCAGTGGTGCAGCTGGAGTTGTGAGCTACAGCCCTGGCTGTGATGCTGCACAGGTGTACTCTGGTTATCAGAGGTGGATACAGCTGAGCCCTCAGTGTTTGTAGCACAGAATCATAGGAGCTTTGGGCTGGAAAGGACCTTAAAGATTGTCTCATGCCAAACCCCCTCATGGAGAAACTGGATGCCTTCCTCCAGAATAACTTGCTCAAAGTCCCATCCAGCCTGGCCTGGAACACTTCCAGGGTTGAGGCATCCACAGCCTCCCTGGGCAACCTGTGCCAGTGTCTCACCACCAGAACAGGAAAGAATTTCTTCCATATATCTAACCTAGATTTTCCCTCTTTCTATTTGAATGCATTACTCCTTGTCCTGTCACTGCAGTTCCTGAGGAAGTGTTTCTAGGTACAACTGTAGTGTAGAGGAGAAGAACTATACAAGGGTAGAGTATATTAGAATAGAACAGTGTAGAGGAAAGCCAAGGCACAGTTGGAGCTAAAGTTGCCTAGGGACATGAAAAATAACAAGAAGGGTTTCTTTAGGTACATAGGGCAGCAAAGGAAGATGAAAGAAACTGCACATGCCCCTGAGAAGAGAAACAAGAGACCTGGCTGCAAATCACAAGGAAAAGGCTGAGGTACTCAATACCTTTTGTTGCCTCAGTCATCACTGGCAAGTCCTCCAGCCACACTGCCCAGGAAAGATGGGCAGGGACTCCATCAGGGATTATAGTGGTAGGACATTGGGGAATAGCTTTAACAGGAGGAGAGAAGGTTTAGATTGGATATTAGGAAGAAATTCCTCACTGAGAGGGTGGTGAGACATTGGCATAGGTTGCTGAAAGAAACTGTGGCTGCTCCATCCCTGGGAGTGTTCCAGGCCAGGTTGGATGGAGTTTGGAGCAACCTGGGCTGGTGCAAGATGTCCCTGCCCATGACAGAGGGTTGGAACTAGATGATCCTTAAGGTTCCTTCCAACCCAATCCATTCTGTCATTCTAGGAGTCTGTGATTTTATGATTTTATAGTTCCATGATTCTAGGATCGCAGCATTGGTGGCTGGCAGAGATTTTTGGAGTTTTGTGTGTGTCACCAAGGGCAAAAATTGATCTCAAGTCTTCAAAACAGTCAATTACCAGAGGAACATGGAATTGTTTTCAGACATAAAGTCGAGTTTGGAGTCAGATAGAAAACACACTGAAGAGTGTTTTGAGAGGGAGAGCAACCTGGATTGCTGACACCAAACTGCTCTCTGTAGTGTATTTGACCTGGTATGAAACAGGTAAAGGTTCTGAATCTGAGTGAGTTTTGGAGCATTTCAATATCCTTTTGTTTGCTTCACTCCTGTGTTGCATATTCAATTGAATAGATTGGGTTTTTTTTCTTGGGGCTTTCTTCTGACATCAGTGAAGAGGGAAAGGCACAGAAGGGGAATCATCCCATCCATCTTAGACATCCAGTCTGCCATGGGGTGACTGTGGTGAGACCCTGTCCCAGGGTGCCCAGGGAGGCTGTGGCTGCCCCAACCCTGGCAGTGTTCACAGCCAGGTTGGATGAGCCTTGAGCAACCTGCTCTGGTGGGAGGTGTCCCTGCCCAGGGCAGGGCTTGGGGCTGGATCATCTCTGAGCTCTATTCCAACCCCTAAAATCCTATGATTCTATGACTTATGCCTCGGGTATGACTTGCCCCGTCCCAGGGTGCCCAGGGAGGCTGTGGCTGCCCCAACCCTGGCAGTGTTCACAGCCAGGTTGGATGAGCCTTGAGCAACCTGCTCTGGTGGGAGGTGTCCCTGCCCAGGGCAGGGCTTGGGGCTGGATCATCTCTGAGCTCTATTCCAACCCCTAAAATCCTATGATTCTATGACTTATGCCTCGGGTATGACTTGCCCCCTTGACCAAAGTGGAAGCCTCACTGGCTGCTGTAGCTCAGATACTGTGACAGACAGAGATTTGGGATCAATCCTGCTCTAAGAGCCTGGGACAAAGATTCTAGTGGAATCTGTGTCCTGTCTCTCAAGTGCTTTTGCAAGTCCCACCTTCTGCCTCAGCATTGGTGCTGCACAGCACCCACCGTGCCCTGTGCTGACACACAGCGATCGCTGCACAGTGTGTCCCACACCAGCCACTTCCCTTCTGCTTTAATTAGAACTGTTTGCTAATCCCAGTCTTGACTAATGAGCTTAATATGCAAATGTGATGCTGAAACTGAAACTCTTTGTGATTGCTTGCAGACAGATTACCACTTCGAGTACACGGAGTGCGACAGCAGTGGCTCCAGGTGGAGAGTGGCTGTCCCGAATCCGTCAGTGGAGTGCTCTGGACTACCTGACCCCGTGAAAGGGAAGGAATGCAGTATGTTGACACTTTTCATTTTACAGACTCTTACTGGCTCTTCATGCTCTTTACCCTTGTAGGGCTTCTTAGCTCTGTCACTGATGCCCTGAGTGTCCCTGAGTTAGTCTTTCCCCTTCGATACTTCTTCCCGTCTCCTGTAGCTGTGGAGCAGGAATTGCATTGACAGTGTAGCTGTGGAACTTGTTACCTGCTACAGGTATCCTTGTGTGCCAGCTCACTAGCAAGGCATGTTACAGAATCATGGAATCATCAGGGCTGGAGGAGACCTCTAAGATCATCGAGTCCAACCATGAACCTGTCACTGCTGGAACCCCCAAACCCTAACCCAGATCCTCCAGTGCCACATCAGACACCTCTGAAACACCTCCAGGGATGGTGACTGCACCACCTCCCTGGGCAATATCCCAGTGCTGAACACCACAACAGGGAAAACATTTCTCCTCACATCCAATCTGACTCTGCCCTGGCTCAGCTCAAGGCCATTCCCTCTCTCCTCTCCCTGCAGCCCTGGCAGGACACACATCCCCTATATATGTGTATATATGCATATATAGACCCCCCAGTGTCTATAGCAACACTCCTTGAAGAGACAGGGCTGATTGTCTAGAGCTGCCCTGCTCGTAAGTTCTGCAGCTATGCACTTCCTTCGTAGCTGTATTGGCCAAAACAGTGACCAGGAGTGATCAAATTGTGTTTGCATAGTGTCCATGTTCTCGTTCCATGCATTATTTAGCTAATTAATGAGCTGAATGCATAAGAAATGGTAAATGTCTTATTTGCCTGAGTTATTTTCATAGAATCATAGAAATTTAGGGGTTGGAATGGAGCTCAGAGATGCTCCAGCCCCAAGCCCTGCCCTGGGCAGGGACACCTCCCACCAGAGCAGGTTGCTCAAGGCTCATCCAACCTGGCTGTGAACACTGCCAGGGTTGGGGCAGCCACAGCCTCCCTGGGCAACCTGGGACAGTGTCTCACCACCCTCACAGTATGATGAAGCTTTTCATGCTGAGACTTTTGTATTTTATTTATTTATGTATTTATTTGCAACGACTTGGTGTGTTCTGCTTTTATTTTGCATCTAAAGGCATAAGGAACTGCTGCTCTGCAAACACATCCCTTATTGTTTTGTAGCTTCCCAGGCAAATGCTCTTTCTCATATCACCTCTTTGCTGTTGCAATTCTCTCCACAAAAGATCCTAGCAGCAATTTGTACCAGGGGCTATAAATTATCCTGTCTGACAAACAGGATGAACAATAGCAACATCCTTTCAGAGGTGAGACTTACTCCTGACTCTCCTCCTCTAAAGGTTTATTGTTCATTTCTTTATGACATATGTTCCAGTATGAGACACAGCAATATTTTCTGTAGCAGTGTTGATCACTGGAAGGTTTCTGACTGTAAGTAAGCTTGCAAGTATCATTTGGGAATGTGTCATTTCTGGTGTTTGGGTTTAGCTTCTGAGGTGTCAAATGTTCAATCTGGGTATCTCCCTAGGTTGTACCTTTTCAATTACAGACATAGAGGGCTGAGAAGCACCTCAGGTGGTCCCATAATTCATCCCTCAGTCCATATAGCTGTGGTGGCAGTGACTGTGTCATTCCTGGCTGATGTCTTTAACCTCATGGAGTTCAACCAAATGCAGTGCAAGGTCTGTTGGAGCAAGTGCAGAGGAGGCCACAGAGCTGCTCAGAGCACTGGAGCATCTCCCTGTGAGCACAGGCTGAGGGAGTTGGGGCTGTTGAGCCTGGAGAAGAGAAGGTTGTGTGGAGA